GTGAGTGAAGGTGATATGGGTTGAAAGGTGCGTGGTAGAGCCGTCGTTAAGGACTTTTAAGTTGCTTTCTTGAATAGCTCGTTCGATTTTTTTTCCTCTTGTGTTTGTGTGCGGGGAGCCCCACAAAGGACTCCACGAGTTAAGGTCACCGAGAAGTATAGATGTCCCATTAAGGTTATCCAGGGTATTTGATACGTCAGAAAATGTAAAGCTTTGATTGGGGGGGATATAGGAGCTTATAATGTTTATGGTTTGGTCAATACTAAGCTGCAGTACTGAGCATAGAATGTTGGAGTTTATATTTTGGTACGTGTGAGGATCCCTTGCTTGGCTACGGTGTTTTGCAGGAAATTGTGGAAATAACTAGTATATCCTTTAGGGGAAAAGAAATTAGTAAAATTGTATGGCAGATAGGTTTCCTCCAAAAATATTATATCGGGTGAATGGTCTTTTATAAGGTGTTTAAGTTAGTTCTAGTTATTTAAAATCAAATAAAAACACCTCTTAACGAGGTAAAAAACTAGTGACGATCGCACCTTCAACATACAAAAGTTCTGATATCAACATTTGTGACGAAAAATTATTACACTCGTCATTAAATACACTTTCTAAAATTTTCTCATTTGGCCCGCCCTAGCATACTATTTTAGCCTTTTTACCTTCATAGGCATTTTCTATTGCAGCGTGCCGAATGAGAAAATCTTAGAAAGTGTATTTAATGACGAGTGTAATAATTTTTCGTCACAAATGTTGATATCAGAACTTTTGTATGTTGAAGGTGCGATCGTCTATTTTTTACCTCGTTAAGAGGTGTTTTTATTTGATATCAGAAGTTTTTGTTTGTTTACATTTGCTCTCATAGGAGCTAATATATACATTTAAATTTAAATTGGTCAATCATAATTTGTAAACCATTGTATTTAAACAAATTAAGTTAAAAAAGGCGTTTAAGTATTTCAAAATACCTTTTAAACGAGGTATAGCACATGTCTGTAGCTTCAGTAGTGTAGAACTTACAAACTAACGAAATTTAGCTATTTCTTTTTTTCCGCTAAAGCAGCGGGTTTTTCCAAAAGTCGTAAAACAAAAGTTTCCTATTTGGAACTCCTGAAAACAATTGAAATGGTTCTATGAGCCTAAAATACAGTTTGGATACCCACGCACAAAATTAAACACTCAGGAAGCGTTAGTTGTTCTGAGCTGGCAAAAGTGGCTATTTTCGTTTCTGAATAACTTTTAAACGCGATTTTTTACATAAACATGATATATACCAAAATTTAAGGAATCTCAAGGGCTATACAGTTTAAAGTTCTAAGGAAAATCGTTAGAGCCGTTTTTGAGAAAATTAAAAAAAAAAGTTAAAAAAAAAGTTTAAACAAATTTTCTTTTGTTCATATCTTTTTAACTATTAACTTTACACAAATTTCATATAGAGGCGTTTATAGCATTTAAAAATACCTTTCAAACGAGATGCAGCACAAGTCTGTAGTCTCTTTAGTAGTATAGAAGTTACGGCTTTCCGAATTTTAGCTATTTATAGCTGTTTTCCCGCTAAACTAGCGGGTTTTTCCAAAAGTGGTAGAACAAAAGTTTTTTATATCGATGTGATGAACGTCATATTAAATTTTCAGAACTTAAAAAACATATTTTGGACAAACTGACAAACAGAATTAAATTTTCATTTTGGGAAGAAGAAGAAAATCTTATTTTGGCTATAACTTTTGAACGGAGCGTCGGATGACCCCTCATTCGACGGGTATTTTCAATAGGAATACAACTAAAACATTGCGAGGGGGATTTTATCCCCACCGGCTAACAGCTCCAAAATTCGAAATTTTCACTTTTTCACTTTCACCTCTCTCTCCCAAACCAATTGATTTTCTTGAGGTCTTGGTATGCAATCCTTTAAGTTTTTGCAATACCTTTCGATTGGTGTATTACTCATTACGATCTGACTATCACAGCAGATTTTCATTTCTTCGTGTATATATAGTAGTCGCCTTCGCACACTCTCCTGGTGCGCTTCGTCACTACATGGATTGCCGTCCATAGTGATACCATGGATATTCCTTTGTATTATAGCAATTGGCATGATAAGGTTATACTTATAGATTTTATTCTTGCTTGATTGTAATGTTATGTATTTAAATGTAGGAATGTAAAAAAGGAGAGGATCGGGACTAAAAGTCGGGATAGTCCTTTGTTACGTCAGAATATGTAGGGCTGTTTGGGGAGTTAGAAGAGATAGATTCGTTTGGTTTTGATCTTGAGGTCTGTTTGGAGCTATGGTCGTCTTGTTCTATGAATTTTTGTACTTCAGATCTGAGAGCGTGAGATCTTGCTAAGTTTTTTTGTAGAATACTTTCGTTGTTTGAGTTAGAGAATTCAGTTTTGGAAGAGTGGTTGGTAATTTCTCTTTGGCAATCAAAGAGTTTGCGTGCGTAAATGATAAGAGAGATTTTTGAGCTTTTGTTGAACAGGTGGGTGATTCGGTATTGGTGGTCCCGTGCATGGTGGAACTATACAAGGTGGTCTCGTCAGCTCTGCTGAGGACGTTAAATATGTTTACCTCTCTGTCTCCCTTAAGCGATAGAATGAGATAGCTAGATAGAGACTGGCACAAATAACGTCCTCAAAAGAGGGCAGCTCACGCGACGAGACCACCTTGTATAGTTTCACCATGGTCCCGTGGAGCTCGGCAATTTTGTCGCCAGCGCTGTTGCCTTCGGGTTGGTGACGACCGAGTAGGTCAGCGTGGAGTTGGTTGTCGTGCTTTGTTGTTGTTTTAAGATAATGCGAGCTTCTCGGAAGCTGCATTTTCTTGTCGTTTTTATCTGTAGAAGTTTTTTTTGTGCAAGCGGAATGCAAGTGTAAGGGACGGGAAAGTGCGAAGCGAGATTGCATGATACACAGGCGGTTGGGTTACCACATTTCTTTAATGTGCGTCCTAATAACTGACATGAATTACACCTCATAGGGTTTGGAATCTAACTGTGTGCCAGGAGATGTCTAATTTTCTTGGAAGGGTGTAAGAGGTCAAAATTTTGCCAAATGGTTTGGGAGTGCCGTCGATCAATTTTGTGAATTTATAAACGCTGTGAACATTCTGAGACTTTAGCTCGTCAACAATTTCGCTTTCTGGGATGTTATCTAAGCAGGGTGCCTAAATGGTGCCTTTAACAAAGTTAAGAGAGTTGTGGAGTTTGCACTCGATATCGCATTGAGAAGATTTCCATCACGGAGAGTTGAGATCGATATGATGTCTTTACTGATGTTTTTAAAAGCTCTGTGGACTGCAAAACAGGAAAAATCTGATATGTTTTTTTCTGAGTTATTGGATGATACACCTAAAAACCTTGGGTTTTTAAGCTGTGGTTCAGAGAGTTTGGGAAATTGGATTGGAAGGTTTTGAAATTGTCTTTTTTTTTGGCTTTGGGTCTAGCGCTAGGTCTGGAAAAGCGGTTATCCCCTAAATTAGGTGGCCCGGAAGCCATGGTTAGAAAGTAAATTTGTTACAAGAATTGGGTATTTTATTCACACGTGCGCGTTCAGGCAAAAACGTTTTTGGCGATAAGCCGGGTGATGAAATTTCGCGATAAGCAAGGCACTGACAATTGGATAGGCACAGACGTCCGCACTCGAAGAGAGATAGTCGGTGACTGGATTTCAAGATTATATGAGATGACCCCTCTAAATATGTATACTTTTTGCTATCATGTTAGTCACAGGGTCACAGGCCGAGTTGATCTAGCCACGTCCGTCTGTCTATCTGTCTGCCTGTCTGTCCGCCTGTATGAACGCTGAGATCTCGGAAACTACAAAAGCTAGAAAGTTGGGATTTCCCACACATATTCTTGGGCTTCCTAATCAGCGCAAGTTTATTTTAGCCGAGCGTCACGCCCCCTCTAAAGCCCACAATCGCCCACTAACGATTTTAAAATGTGTCTGGGGCCTACCCCTTTAAAGATTTCCGAGAAGTATAATAAGTTATAAGTATAATATGATTTTGTTGTGTATATTTATACCTATCGAAATGTAGACGACATTTTTCAAATCGGACCATTCATTTAAATGTTAAACGCATTAAAAAAATTTTCTATATCCATCTTCCTCGCACTCCCCTTAGCCGAGTGACGGGTATTAGATAGTCGGGACACCAACCCGACTATAGCGTTCTTTCTTGTTATACCCTTGCAAAGAGTATAATGATTTCAGTAAGAAGTTTGCAACGCAGTGAAGGAGACGTTTCCGACCCCATAAAGTGTATATATTCTTGATCAGCATCACTAGACCAGTCAATCTCGCCATGTCAGTCTGTATGTCTGTTTGCACGCGGACAGACAGACGGACGGACATTAATCAACGGGTACTTGGCTCCCGTGATAGCTTGGGTTATTTAGGTGATTTCCCCTAGTGTCAATGCCCGACTGATGCACTTTGCCAGCTACTGGTGTAGGGTTACCAGTAGGTCGATCGCGGTCGTTGATCTGACCGAAAAGATCATCTAATTGCACATGCCTTTGCTTGTTTCGGTGAGTCAACGGGTCGATTGCCCCTCTCCCTTTGCCTCAAGATTCGTTGTTGTTTTCTATGTGCATCTTTCTCCATCAAATAAATTGAAGGAGAGGGCGTACGTAACAAACCAAATACATTTTAAAGAAGAATGAACAAGGAACACTATGAAATTAACTGCATTAAAATATTCCTTCACGTTTCGTCACAATCGAAAGTTACGCAGGAAGTCAGAGAAGTCACTTCAATTAGCTCTCTTTTTCTAAAGACGCCAAATTTTACAAAAAATTTTTGTTAATTTTTGGCTAAAAGAGATATTTATTCAAAGGGTTCTAAATATATTTAACTATTTTAGGACTATAAAACAAAGTTCAATACTTTTCGACCGGTTTTTTCTCTTGTATATACTTATTTACAGTATTCACGTCTACGTACTACGTTTGTTGTTTATAGTAATAAGCTAACCACACAACCTTATTTATTTACAGATACGAGCAGGAGTCCAAGACTCAATTCGTTGTAGATGCTGTATACGCATTTGCCTATGCACTGCATAATTTGCATAATGATCGTTGTAACATCCAAAGCGACCAAACGTCCGAACAGCGAAAACACCAACATAGTGAGTCTGTGTGGTATAGAAAATTAACAACTGACACCAAGTCCCAGGCGTGTCCCGACATGGCTAATTACGATGGAAAGGATTTTTACAACAATTACCTGTTAAACGTGTCATTCATAGGTAGGGTACTTCGTCTTTGTTTCAATACTCGTAGAGTAAGAGGGTATATTGCATTCGTGTAAAAGTATGTAACAGGGAGAAGGAAGTCTTTCCGACCCTATAAAGTATATATTAGAGCCCTGCATGAGTAGAGTCAAAGCTCCCTTTGATTTCATGAGCCATTCGATCTATCTATGTTTTTCAAGTCATGACTCCTATAGCTCATGTCTCCTATAAGACATGGCTCATACTATGAGCCATGACCTACTTAACTCATAAGAAATGAAGTGACCTAGTCGCTTATAGGGTTCATTGTCAACATAAATAAGTTGATTTTGTGAAAAATATTTATTTCTGATTTTTATTTATCATGGTGATAATTAAGATAAATTTTCAGCCTTGTGTCAAATAATACGCGAATTCTTCACGTCGTTTAATTCGCGAAATCGAGTGATACGGATATTTTTATGGTCAAATAGTCCTCGAATTCTTCATGTCAAATAATCCGCGAATTCTTCACTTCGAATGATTCAGGTATTCTTAAGGTCAAATAGTTCGTGAATTCTTCATGTCAAATAATCCGCGAATTCTTCACTTTGAATGATTCAGGTATTCTTAAGGTCAAATAGTCCGCGAATTCTTCATGTCAAATAATCCGCGAACTCATCACTTCGAATGATTCAGGTATTCTAAAGGTTGAATAATCCGCGGATTCTTTATGTCAAATAAACCGCGAATTCTTCACGTCGAGTGATACGTGTATTGTTGAGGTATGGTTGAGGTTTAGGTCGAATGGTTCGGGTATTCTTTAGGTCAAATAATTCGCAAATTCTTCAAGTCAAATAATCCGCAAATTATTTTGACTTAAAGGATCTTATACCATACAAAAATATTTATCCTGCCTTTACAAAAATAAAAATATAGTTATTTCTGGAATTAACAGATTAGAGATATTTTTGACCTGAGTCATGACTCATAGGGAGTCATAGGGTGTCATGAGCTATAGGATTCATTACCTATAAGAGACATGAGGTTTTAGATCAGATCCAGGCCATGAGCTGAGCCATTTAGATCCAAAAAAATTTCCGACATGAGCTACTCGAACCTTTTTTGAAAATGTGAGTCAAAGGGCCCTATGACTGAACTCATGCAGGGCTCTAGTATATATATTCTTGATCAGCCATGTCCGTCTGTCTGTATGAACGCTATGATCTCGGAAACTACAAAAGCTAAAAGGTTGGGACTAATCACACATATTCTTGGGCTCCCTATGCAAAGCAAGTTTCATCCGAGTTCCACGCTCACTCGTACGCCCACAGTCGCTTTAAAGGACTTTTAAAAAACCCACATCTTTACAGATTAAATGACATTTTATTGTGTTTATTAATAGATAGGGGAGAGGTCTGTAGGTTGAGACGGTCTGTAAATTGAGACACTCAATTTTCTCAAAACTTATCCACTAAAAAAATTGTTTTTATTTTTTTTTTGTAGTCTTTTTTAGTAACAAAACTTTTGGGGAAAACATTATAAGCCAGGCTCTAGCCAGATTAAAGCTGTGAGAGTCGTTTACCATTTTTCACCAAAAAAATTTTTGTCTACTTTTTTCAAAATTCCATTTAAAATTAATAACGTTCTTAAATTAACTTGGTAAGAGATTTAAAACATTAGTATATTAACTGTTAACTAATTAGAAAAAGAATCAGCTTAATGTGACAGTCAGAACAAAAGTTATTAATTTTTTCCCGAAACATCCCATTTTGTGTAAGTTGAGACACTTTGAGCGTGTAAGTTAAGACACCCGTTTTTCATACAAAAATGCCTTGGGCCAACAGAGGTCGCTTTCTGCCTAGTACATTTCTTTGATATTAGGGGAAAAGTGAATGTTCAAAGAGCCTTTTGATTTTAATTGTTATTTGGTCTAAGTTCTTAAAAAATGGATGGGAAATAATTTAGGACGAACTAAAATTGATTAAACTAACATAAATAAATAGTTCCTTATAGTTTGGAGTACTTTTTGTGTGAGTATTATTGACTTTTAAAAGTGTCTCAACTTACAGACCTCTTTTTCAAAATGTCGTTTTTTGGGACTTTTCAAAAAAAATAATTTTCCAGTTTTCCCTAAGGACAAAAAATATTTTTTTTTTGTTTTTTATTAAGCTAATAGACTAACCTTTCGATCAGTACCAAATGCGTAAAGTTTTATAAGTGAATGTCGAAATGGCAGATTAAAAACAAAAGGTGTACCAACCTACAGACCTCTCCCCTATCGAAATGTAGAAAAAAATTTTAAAATCGGATAATCCATCAAAAATTTATGAGCACTCTCTCTAGCTGAGTAACGAATATCTGATAGTCGAAGTACTCGACTATAGCGTTTTTTCTTTTATTATTCTATACTTTTAAATTGTGCATTGGACTTATCCTGAAAAGATCTTGCTGGCAGCGAAGTCAAATTTGATCGTCAGGGTGATGGATTGGCCAGGTATGATATTTTAAACTATCAACGTCTGGAAAACTCTTCAGGATATCAGTATAAGGTAAGACCATAATCTCTTATCAAATCAATAACGTTTTAAACCGACCCCTATCCAGAGACAATACAGTATAGGATTTATTTTCATGATTTGCGACTACAAAAAATGTGTTTAAACTTACAAAACCATTCAATTATGGTTAAAATGGGCATAGCTGACTTGTACAGTAAGCTCAGCATACATACATATTTTCGGAGTTCGAATCTCACCCACGACAGAAAAGAAAACCTTATTATAAAATAATGAAGCTAATAAACATGAATTTTTGTAACCAATTGAGATTTACACAACGGTTTTAAAATTGTGTGGACTTACTTTGATTGTAAACTAAATAATATAGGGGTCTGAGAAACTATCAGAATTGGGCCGTTGATTTAGACCGTTGATTTAAAAATACAAACAATAAAGTCTGGAATTCAATACAATTTTACAATATGAATGTTTTGAAAAAACGCACGTAATTGCATATAAAAAATAAACTCTGAAAAGCAACATTCTTTTTATTAAATGTGTATTTAAATTTAGAAGGAGATTTTATCAGAAATCTGAAATGTTTTCAACCCAAATTCTTATAAAAACTTCGGCAAGCCGAACCTTGGCTCCACGGTGGTTTAATAACAACATTCATAGTAATATTATAAATTGTAACATGAAATGTGTCTAACGTTAGTTAAATAATATTTCAGGTTATTGGTAAATGGTTTAATGGATTGCAGCTAAATTCTGAGACAGTTGTATGGAATAAGGAAGCTGAGCAACCAACTTCCGCCTGTTCACTGCCATGTGAGGTCGGAATGATAAAAAAACAACAGGTATTTATTATTTAAGCTATAATGACGAATGTATTTTCACATTTACACCCTTTGATTCTTACAGGGAGATACCTGTTGCTGGATATGCGATAGCTGCGAGTCATTTGAATACGTATATGATGCGTTTACCTGTAAAGACTGCGGTCCAGGCCTTTGGCCTTATGCAGACAAGCTTTCCTGCTATGCCTTAGACATTCAGTATATGCGATGGAACTCGTTATTTGCCCTAATTCCCATGGCCATAGCAATTTTAGGGATTGCTGTGACAATTATTGTAATGGTCCTATTTGCAAAAAATCACGATACTCCATTGGTAAGGGCATCAGGACGAGAGCTAAGCTATACTCTTCTCTTTGGTATTTTGGTCTGTTACTGCAATACCTTTGCGCTGATAGCCAAACCAACAATTGCCTCATGTGTTCTGCAGAGGTTTGGTATTGGTGTTGGCTTTTCCATCATATACAGTGCTTTGCTTACAAAAACCAATCGAATCTCACGAATTTTTCACTCTGCATCTAAATCAGCTCAGCGTCTTAAGTATATTAGTCCACAATCACAGGTGGTAATAACAGCATCTCTGATCGGTAAGATATGAAATTTGACTGAAGCCACCTGAAGCCATAATCTTACATAATCACCTTTTAGCAATACAGGTACTAATCACAATGATTTGGATGGTAGTTGAACCACCTGGAACTCGTTTCTATTACCCAGACCGAACGGAAGTGATTCTTAAGTGCAAAATTCAAGACATGTCCTTCCTCTTTTCCCAGCTGTATAATATGATTCTCATAACAATTTGCACTGTTTATGCAATTAAAACGAGAAAAATACCAGAAAACTTTAATGAGTCAAAGTTTATTGGATTTACGATGTATACCACTTGCATAATCTGGCTAGCTTTCGTACCCATATACTTCGGTACTGGAAATTCTTATGAGGTACGTTCTTGAAAGAAAATATTTTAGTCACTAAAAGACTTCGGTCTAATTTCATCGCCCTTACGTTTTTTTAAGTAAACCCTTAACGAATAACGAATTAAGTATATATCATATATACAGCACACTTTAAGTTTTTTTTACGAATTTTTAACCAATAAGGTGCTAAATTTTCCTGACTTGTAATGTGGAATCCACATTGTGGATTACACACTGCAACATAATAACACTGTGCAGCATTTTTAGTGCTTTTTAAATTTACCTCGATGGATGCTATATTTTTGGATTCGTTACGAATTCCCAAGTTAAACTGCGTTTTCCTAAAAGTTCCCCGACGCAAGGATTCTTAGCAAAAGGACCTCAAAGTTCGAAAAATTCTGAAATTGGCCAACTTTGCAGAGCTCTCAGAGGCAAATGGATGCATGGTTTGATTCTATGTTAAAGTTTTTTAAAAGATACACCCTTTATCTTTAAAACCCTATACTTAAAAATTTTTTAAGATTTTTTTTAAGGCAGAAACAAATTCTATAAAACATAGTCAAAAAACATAAAAGTATACAGCTGCGGTCAAAATGGTAGTAGTGTTGCCGCCCTGTGTATTTAAAAGTTTGTTGTTGTAATTGATCTTTTCCTGGTAATATTGTATTGATTATAATTTTACTATTAGACTAATTGGATAAGAAAAATTACAACATCAAACTTTTAAAAACACAAGGCGGCAACACTGCTACTACTTTGACCGCAGCTGTATGTTTTTCAGTTTTTTGACTATGTTTTTAGGAATTTATTTCTGCCTTAAAAAAAATCCTAAAATTATTTTATGTATGGGGTTTGAAAGATAAAGGGTGTATCTTTTAAAAAACTTTAACTTCGAACCAAGCCATGCATCCATTTGCCTCTGAGAGCTCCGCAAAGTTGGTCAATTTCAGCATTTTTCGAACTTTGAGCTCCTTTTGCTAAGAATCCTTGCGTCGGGGAACTTTTAGGAAAACGCAGTTTAACTTGGGAATTCGTAACGAATCCAAAAATATAGCATTCGTCGAGGTTAATTTTTGATGCTGCATAGTGTAATTATTGTGTATTATGTACACAAATATGTATAACTTCAACAGCAGCGGCATAGGAATTTTGGCAAGCCCACGAACGCGCTGCCTCGACTGGCTGATTAAGGGCCGGTTTCTCGAGTCCCTGTTAAAGTCCCTGATAGCTATCTGTCCGAAAAACTTAAAGACCAGATAAACTGTTCGTATAAGCAAATCGGTTTTCTTGACTCCTTTAAATTATGTAAACAAGAAACAATTACAAAGTGCTGTTAACGCACAGAATTGTGCTGTAAAGCGCCAAAAATGGTGTGCATTGATTATTCTATCAGCTGCTTGGGTACATTTCAAAGGCAAAGTCAGCTGTGATTTAGTTTCTTCTTCTTAGTTGGCATTTTCGAATCGTTTTATCGAATCGAAAACGCTTAGCAGGGAGTCCAAGTCCCTGGCAAAGTTAGCTCTCACATTAATGCTCAAGAAAGCCAAAATGCCTTAGCAGGAACCTTATCGTAGGAGAAATGTTACCCGCACTCGAGAAACCGGCCCCAAAAGTTATAAAACATATGTCTAATCAGGGGTGTTCAAAACTGCCTTATGGCAGTGCATTTACAAACACAATTAAAATAAAATCACACGCACGCGAGTAACGACTTACGCACAGTCATGAAAAAGACAACAACACTTTGCATTGTGAGTTGAGGAAAAAAAATAAGTTCAATGGAATTGTTGTTGGCTTGGCTCGTTACGGACAGCGACACAAAGAGGAACTTGCGTGTGCCTTAGGAAAGTATGGTATGTGCCGATCCGTATGCTAAACGCCGAACCAAAAACAAGTGTGCCCGCGTGCCATAGGACTAAGCACCCCTGGTCTGTAAACATATATACATGTTCATGCTCATATTCATATTCAGATATCTTCCTTAAGTAATCCTTATATAAACCAATAAATAACCACATTGAAATAATCGATTTTATTTTTCAGGTGCAAACTACTACGTTGTGTATTTCAATAAGTCTAAGTGCGTCTGTGGCTCTTGTTTGTCTGTATTCACCCAAGGTATACATCCTCGTCTTTCACCCGGACAAAAATGTTCGCAAGTTGACCATGAACAGCACAGTCTATAGGCGATCAGCAGCAGCTGGAGCACAGGGTGCGCCTACCAGCTCCGGATATAGTCGCACACAGCCAGGTACCACTGTACCTACAGGGGCGGTAGGTACTACAGCGTCAAGTGCCCTTCCAACACAAGACAGCCCCAATCTTGATGAACTATCGGGTCAAACGGCTGTTGTTCACAAAAAAAGTGAATATGGTAATGGCGAATTCTTGTCTGAAGAAGGCGAATGTGCTGAGCCAATCAGCAACCGAGTAAAAAATTGAGATTCAGTCCGAGAAATATCACACTTAAATATTTATTAACAACCGATGCTTTTTAGAAAAGACTAGTTATCTTATGGAAATATACATCTTAATTTTAGATTATACTTCGCCACTTAAATACGAAAAGTAACCTAATAATATCACGTTTAAAGTAGGGCAATGCCCATATACTAGCATAGTTTAGTGTAAGAAAAATCTCTAGAGATGTATAAATTGAGCAGTGCTCCCATTTGTCAAAATAGGCAGTACTTTCATCTGGGATGAAAAATATAAACAAATTTTAATTAAAACCACTACACCATTTTGCTTTCCCTTTACTCATTAAGTAAAGGGGTATATTGAAGGCTAGCAAACCCATACAAGTAGAAAGAATCGCGTTAGACCCTGTAAATCGTGTTCTATCGGTGGTTGGTTTACGGTTGACATAACAGATTTCTGTTGGAAAAGACTTCTACGATACCCCAGTATACACAACCAATTTATGTCTGCAGACAAAAAAATTTGCTTGGTAAAATTAACCAACAAAGATAGTTACGTAACTATTAAAATAGTTACGAGTATTTTGTTTTTGCTTTGGGTTTGTGTCTTTGCTAATTGTGTGTATTTTGTTGTTGTGAAATGACTATTTACTTAGTAGAATTGACAATTTTGCTGGTTCGGGCCTCATTGACAATTATTACAGTTGATTTTACCAAGTTTTTTTTTTCTGTGTGTTTGTCCAAATCAACTTCAAGATCTCGGGAACTATGAAAGCTACGCCTGTTATTTTCTAAGTTTCGACACGCCCTTATCTGCTGATTTATTTGCTTAGAAGTTTTGTGCATATCTCTGCAATTTTTAACTTTTTACTGCTGAACTAGCTTTTTTTTAGAAACAGAATTATATAGGTAATATAAAATATATGGGCGGTTCTTTTACAAACCGAACGGATTTGGCCAAAAATATTTTTCACATTTTTGATTTGTTTGAAACTTTTTTTACGTGTACTATTCGGAAAATAATTAAACACGTGTATCAGGATTTGACCGAAAAAAACTATTTTTTTTAGTTTGCCAAAAAACGTGAATTTTAAAAAAGTACCCTCTCTCTGAAAATCTGTATCTCCGGTTGTAGTAACCCGATTGACTTCGTGTCTTTAATTCCTCTAAAGCCTTTTATTTACAACAATTTTTTTTTATAAAACTAGTTTTTAATTTTAAAAAATAAAAACCAATAAAGATTTAAAACCTTTTTTTAACATTTTCCCCACATAAAAAAAAAAAATTTTAACTTATCACTTGCGCTATGTTGTTAGTTACAATCGGTTTTTGTTAAACAAGTGGAGCCATTTGTAGTTTTTAAAATATCGATTTTTTTTAACAAGGCCTCGGTTTTTTTTTAAGAAAAAAGTCGCAGAAAGTAGGGGTACTCACTCCCCCTTATCGGATCCTTATAGAATTAATGTTTTCTCATCGTTTACTAGTTCTTAAACAATTTTTAATAATTCAAAGTTAAGTTTTAAGTGCTTTGACAATTTCTGAATGACAAAAATTAAAAAGTCATTTTTAAATATATTTAAAAATTAAAAAATTAAAACCCTCCATTAAATAATGAAGTATTTAAAAATAATTATATAAATATGTTAAATAAAATACAAAAAAAAAATTGTATTAAATTTAAAAATAATTCTTAAAAATGTATAATAAATTACATAATACAAAAAAAATAATAAACAAAAAAAATTGTAAAATTATTGATTATTTAATGGAGGATTAAATAAATAATTGTAATTTTTGAACAGATTTAAAAATGACCCTTTACTTACTTAAGAGTGAGAGAGTAGCCCTACTTGCTGCGACATAATCAAAGAAAAAAGCCGACACATGGCGCAAATGCTAAGTTAAATAGAAACATTTTTTTTAGTGGCGGAAAATGATAAAAAAAATTTTAATCTTAATTTGTTTTTATTTTTAAGAAATTAAAAATTAATTAAAAAAAAAAAATTTTTAAGTAAGAGGTTTTAAAGAAAGTAATGCAAAAGACACGAATAAGAGGGTACCTTTTCAAAATTCACGTGTTTTCAAAAACTAAAAAAATTCTAAAAAATTCTAAATTCTAAATTCTAAAAATTCCGAATAATATACGAAAAAAAGTTTCAGCCAAATCAAAATTGTGACCCAAGAAAAGGTGTTCGGTTTGTCAAAGAACCGCCCATATATGTACGTTACTTTTCCATTTGTTTAGGACTGTCACAGAAGTAGTGGCTTTCCAGAACTATTTTCGTCACTACGTGTAAGTTTTATGTTCTCAATATGCATTAGACACTCCATTGCTATGACCTCAAGATTTGGAATACGTTGTTTTTACCTTCTTGACCATAGCCTTCAGATCTGACCCAGCCAGACAGCATAAAAATCTCTGGTGGAATCAAATCCTTTACATGAGATTATTATCTGACGCAAGAAACAGTAAATGTCCAGAAAAATATTCGTAGAGGCATGATGGCTGTCTACACGACCATTTTAGGTGCCTTAGACTTAAACGAATCATTTTTAAATCCATGAGAAATAAAATTAGAAAAAAATGAAGTAAATATGTTTTTACTGTTTATAATAAATGTTATTATTATTAATTTAATTTGTCCATACAAATGGACAACGGTACAGTACTGAGAAAAACACATTTTAAAGTTCCTAACGATATTTTTTTGGATAATCCTTTTAAACATATATTTTAACATATATATATTACTCAGTTAGAGATTGGATTAATGAAAAAACAAGACAGAATGCTATAGGGAGTGCGAGGGAGATTGAGATATAAAACTTTGATCGGGCATAACTTTTTAACGAATGGTCCGATTTGAAAAATTTCTTCTACATTTCGATAAGGATAAATATTCACATATATACACACATTGCATTTATACTTCTCCGAAATCTTTAATGGTGTGGGCGCCAGACACATTTTAAAATCGTTTGTGGGCGTTAGAAGGGGCGGGGCGCTCGGCTGAAATAAACTTGCGGAGCAAGCCCAAGAATATGTGTAGGTAATCCAACTTTCTAGCTTTTGCAGTTTCCGAATTCTCAGCCTTTATACGGACAGATAGACAGACAGACATGGCTATATCGAGTCGGCTAGTGACTCTGATCAAGAATATATATACAATATAGGGTCGGAAACGCTTCCTGCTCCCTGTTACATGCATATTCCCTGCACGAATACAAATACCCTTTTACTCTTCGAGTAACGGGTATAATAAAATTATCTTTTTTTCTAACCAAGACCAGGGAAAAAATTATTTGGTAAATTTCGATATTGTTAGGAAATGTTTGAAATCTTTTTTCAATATATTTTGAGCCAATTATTAGGGGGATTCCCTAAACTGTTGAATTGCTGAATTGTTGAATTTTGGTCAGCTGTTAATCAGCTGTTCCATACAAAGTCAACTTTCAGAAATTTCAGCAATTCAACAGCCTCGGGGCTGTTGAAAATTTTGTTGAATTGCTGAAAAGCCAGAGTTGTCACCTTTTTTTGAAAGTCGTGGCAACTCTGTAACATTTTACTATCACCAGTACGCATTATTTATTTTGAAATCAACTTAGAAAGCATATTTGTGGTTCGTTTTACCTTGGTAACACTTTTAGACAGTAACTAGCAATAATAAATCAAATTTTACATGCTTTAAGTTCCGTGAAATTTTTCAACAAATAACAGCTGTTTGAAAATTCAACAGGAACCATTTTGGGTCGTTCCCTTAATTGCTGAAATTTTTTGTTGAATTTTCAACAATTCAGCAATTCAACAGTTTAGGGAATCCCCCTATTGATTTTTAAAGAAATTTTGAAACATGTGAAAAAACTTGTATGATACAAAATTGGTACTCCCACAACTTTAAACTTGAGTCTGGCTGGTAATTATTTTAATAAAAAAAAAGAGGCATACTACAATGAGATTATTAAATATATACAGCTTTTAAATTAAGTAAGCGATATAAAAGCAGACGCGTAGAGCTTTATCGACATGTCTATATTTGCAAATCAAGAGTCTATATACTTTAAGCATCGGGAAATTCTCCTTTACTGTGTAAAAATGTTTTCTTAAATGAATCATTTTTTGTAGTTTACCTTATTTTAGTGGCAAGTTCTGTTGCGTCGGAAAACATTTGTTCTCAATTCTTAATACTCTTAATGATTACAGCATACATACCATTTAAATTTACGATAAACTGGTATATCACGTTATACATATGTATATACACATTAATACAACGGATTTAACAATTTTTAGCGCTCAATTGAAACATATTTTAAAAATGTTTAAAGAAAAAATATGATTTTGTATTTTGTTTTACCAAACTTTTCAAAGTATTAAGCTTCAAAAAAGCAATACAATTTCCTGCGTGTATACAAAAGAATCAATTTGCTCTTTAAAGTTTTAAGTCATCATAAACAAGGATCAGAACCGGTCAAGAAAATTAATACTCGCTCTACACTTGAATAGGGCTGATAGCTTTAAAATGTACGTTTAGAAAAATTTTTCATACGTTAAACCAATAAAATATTTAAATCGGTCAATCAAACAAAAATGTTATTTGTTATTAAGAGTTAAACCTAATTTTAAGCCTTTATAATATCGTGTTTGTATATACACACTTACTTTTTTACATGCTAGTCGTAGATAAGCCCACCTTTGCAGTATTTGGTTCGTATATTGAATACACCCAAATAACTTGACTATGAACAGTTGAACAAAACATAATAAGTGGTGGGATTCCTCTAACCGATTTGAATTTGCCTAGGATAATTTTGTAATAAATATCGTATATATTTTTTTTTATTTACAAAGCTAACATTGCAAAAGAAAGTGCGATAATTTTTCACAAGCACTTCATACACAGTGCACCCTTTTATAAAAAGCCAATCCTATAACCTAAATCCAATATATTCACGATCGGTTTAGGAACTCCACTGCTATTAGGCGTAAGAAATATAAATAAACTTTCGCACAAAATATTTTACAAATATTTGGCTTGGTGATTCGTAATAAAATATACTTTAATGTGTAATCCTAAACAGTATCTAAGTACAAATCAATTTTATTAACTAATGAAGATGAACAACATAAAACTAAAGAAAAGTTATCAAAAAATAATTATAAACAATAAAATAGTGTAATTTATGTAGAATTTTTGTTATCTTTCCTCAAAGTGATTGATTAATGTCTATCCGGATCAAGCCATGCGTTCAATGATGCAAAATAACTAATAAAACCCCCTGTATAAACATATTTATGTGGCTGACCGCAGACGTTTATACGAATATAATCGTCTAGATAAATCTCTTATTTGGGTGACTGGGAACTTTCAAAAATGCATAGCTCGCCATTATTACATGTAAGATTTATTAAAAAAAACGGTTAGCAGAAACACACCTACCCATTTTGGCAAAGACATCTATAGTCTAATTGGAGCCCTGGCGATCCACGCAGTAAATGCTTGTTCCTCATATACATTTCGTTGATCCACTGAGATTGAGATAAACTCCAGAAGATTTTAAGCTTATATAATTGGTTGTGTATTATTTACAGTAAAATATTTTTTTTACAATATGATCAACTACAATCTGCAAATACATACTTTAAATAGTTTGAGTTAATTTATATTATTTTTTAGAAAACTACTGTTACATGCTCCAAATTTAAATGTCCAAGCCATTTAAAATAGGGATCGTGCCAATATACACATATTTCTAGGCATAAACAAAAAATTAATTTCAAACATTAAAATATTTGAATCCATTTAAATTCTAATTATACTGTTTTGAACTTCAATCTTTCTTAAAGAATTAATTGTGCACAACGGCTGAGGAATGTTGAATGCTACGTTCAAATTCTTCTAAACTTAGCGCTTGGTTCATATTTAAAAGAGGCAGTTTTCCAGCTGAAGCTTTTGCAAGGAGCTCCGGAGAAAACCATTGTGCCAATTGATTATTGGTTGGTGATGGCATACGATCATCCCTGTGGTAGCCGGGAGATGCGATGTTATTATTTTTGATCACATTCCCAGAATCGGAGCTGTCAGGAAACCCTAAAATTTAAATATAATATTTAATGATCTAAGAAAATGCATATAAACAATTTCTCACCTGGTACTGGTGATGACATTTGTAGATTCGATTGACGGTGCATTTCTCCATAGATCACCCTGGGCCTAGGTTGCTGCCGAGACTGCTGCTGCTGCTGATGTTGCAAGAAAAGTTGATGCCATCCAACAGGAGATGGAATGTTTTGATGAACATTCTCAGTATTCAACATGGATTCCACAGATTGCACTGATTTAAACCTGTGTTGTTGTTGTTGCAGCTGCTGATGTGGATGAACTGTCTGCATTTCGATTTTATGTGTAGGAAAAGTAACTGCGGGATTTGGTTGCGGCATGGAATTAAGGCCTCCTTTCAGTATAGGGCGACCTATAATAAATAAGAAATGTAAACGTCATTTTTAGTTTTTAATGGAACTCATAAGTAAGTAACATTGGACGGATTTCTCTACGCACATAAATATGCGCGAATCGATGTTTTCGATAACACTAGTTCACAGCCAAAACGCTTCTAAGCGATTGAATGCAAATTCTGTCGGAATCCTGGATCAGAAAACGTCATTACCTTTTTTTTTTAATGGTATAATCATAAAAGATTTTTTAAAGTTTAAAATGTAGAACATCATCTTTTTTTTATTGTTGGGAACAAGAACTATTTTTAAAATTTGAAGTATAATATAAGCATCTGTTCTACTTACCAAATGATTTTCCTTGCACCATTTGCATATTTCCAGGAGTCCATTTTAACCCTTGCTGACTACGACATTGCTGCATATTGGGAGACATTTGTTGGTTATTGGGACCAATGGCAAAGTTTCCACCGCCTAATATCATTCGAGGCTGTACGGCCATAGTTGGCTGCGGCTCATGTACGTTCGTGTGCGTACTAAGTTGCTTGGCATGCTGTGGGTGCATTTGATACTGTGGCTGCTGGCTATGAGACGTGCTTGGTGCTTGAGTTGTATCCTTATCGGCTGTCATTTTCCTTAGTACTGATGTAGGAGTAAAGGCCAAAGGAGTTGGCGAGTTACCGTGGGCAATTAGCTGATTAATCGCATGGTTGGCAGTATTTTGCGAAAGCAATTCTAAAACAAAATAAAAAAACACGTTGGATCAGTAGTTTTAACATAAGATTAGCTTTTGTAGTTTCCAAGATCACAGCGTTCATACAGACAGACAGACAGACATGGCTATATCGACTCGGCTAGTGACCCTGATCAAGAATGTATATACTTTATGGGGTCGGAAACGCTTCCTTCTAGCTGTTACATACTTTTGCACGAATACAATATACCCTTTTACTCTACGAGTATTTTATTATAATTCAAGTTTAAAGGTTTTTGGCTTGGTGGACTTTTTTGAGGAGGTGCCCTATATACAATAATACAAACCTTCAGAATAATGCTGATGGACTGGTTGAGCTTGAAGAAACGATGAATGATTAAAAATGTTGGGATCCACCGTGGCCACAGGATTCCGTTTATTATGCGAATATTCACGGAGGACTGTAGCAATAACCTCCTTTGTGGAAGGCGGAGTGGTAGGATTACCTAACTCCTTTTCCAAAAAGTCCAGTGAAACGTCTCCGCAAATGAGGCCTATTTATTTTAAGAAAGAAAACATGTATTTTGTCTTTTCCAATACTTTTAGTTTTATAATAAATAAATAGGCTCATAAACAATGTACTAAGTAAAACAAATCATTTACCTTGATGTATGCCTTAAAATCTTATTTGTTTTTAATTACCATTTTAGAATGTGTTAATGTGGGTTAATCCCAACATTCTAGCTTATGTAGTTTCGGAGATCTGAGCGTTCACACAGAGACATGGCTAATCGACTCGGCTAAAGATTCTGACCACGAATATATACACTACTGGACAAAATAATAAGTACACACGTTACATCCTCACTTGCTAAGAGATATCTCTATAGTTATTGAGGCCAGAAATCCCAAACCTTTTTATTTTGAAAGGTTATTCTGTCCTGCAAATATTTTAATAAACAATGGATACAGTAAAACCTGTCTATTCCATGTTAGCCATACATTTGTGCGAAAGGTCGGTTTTGGTGTGGTCAAAAAAAATAAGTACACTTGTGTTACTTATAATTTTTTAAAATATTAAATCTAGAATGGGGCTACGGTTAGTATTTTATCTTAAGTTAGGATCATGTTTATAAGAAGTCTGGGCCAATTGGACGATTCAAAAAGTTTCCAAGCCTGGATTTGGTTACTTCAAAGTCATTATCCATGATAATGATTTCTGATTTGCAGCTTAAAAGGAACTTTAACACTTAAGTATGGCTTGTGATTTCCAAAATTTTCTTTAAAAATACTACTCCTAATAAATAAAATCGGTTTGGAAAAAATTAGTACTTACACCGTAAAAAATGAGGTAAATTCTTGTCAGAAACCAAAGTTACATGCGGTTTTAATTAAAAAAAAAATAGTTAAAATTTAAATTCTTAATTTTTATATTTTTTATTTGATAGTAGATAAAACGACTAAAAAAATGAGATATGTTTCATAAAGATTGGTTAACAACTTATTAAATGGCTATTGACGAAGTGCACGATAACAAAACTGCTCTATCGTTAAAAACGAATTTCATACAAACTTGTATGGACGGGCAATTTGTATTTATGTATATTATGCATTGACCGATCTTTATGAAACATATCTATATGTTTCATATATATCATATATACTTTAAAGGGACTGAAAAGCTTCCTACTAGCTGTTCAATACTTTCTCACGAATACAAAATACCCATTTAAGGCCGGTTTCTCGAGTGCCGGCTAATATTTCTCGAAAAGAAAAAGATAAAACAAGAGAGAACGCTATAGTCGGGTGCCCCGAATATCAGATACCCGTTACTCAGCTAAAGGAAGTGCGAAGGAAATGGAGATAAAAACTTTGATCCGCCGTAACTTTTTAACGAATGGTCCGATTTTTCTACATTTCGATAGATATTGATAAACACCATAAAACTGCATTTTTACTTTTCCGAAATATTGAAATTTTTAAAATCATATATAAGCGATTGTGGGCGTTAGAGGGGGCGTGACAGCCTTTTGAAACAAACTTGCGCTGCGTAGGAACTCCTAGAATCTGCATGCAAAATGTTAATCTTCTAGCTTTTATAGTTTCCGAGATCTCAGCGTTCAGACAGACAGACGGACAGACGGACATGGCTAGATAGACTCGGCTAGTGATCCTGATCAAGAATATATATAGTTTATAGGGTCGGAAACGCTTCCTTCTACCTGTTACATACTTTAGCACGAATCTAGTATACCCTTTTACTCTACGAGTAACGGGTATAAAAATGCTAAGGCATTTTGGCTTTCTTGAGCATTAATGTTAAAGCTAACTTTGACAGGGACTCCGAGTCCCTGTTAAGCGTTTTCGACTCTATAAAACGACAGCTGATTTCACAAAGCCAACTAAGAAGAAGAAATTAAATCACAGCTGACCTGCCTTTGAATTATACCCAAACAGCTGATAGAGTAATCAAAGCACGCCATTTTTTGCGCTTTACAGAAAATTCTGTGCGCTAACAGCACTCTGTAATTGTTTCTCGTTCAGATAAATTAAAGAGTCGAGAATTCCGATTTGCTTTTACGAACAGTTTATCAGGACTTTATGTTTTTCGGACAGATAGCTATCAGGGACTTTAACAGGGACTCGAGAAGCCCGCCCTTAATCTACGAGTAACTGTTATAAGCATGGTATGTTGTACGTTCCGCTAAGCCGTACCCGAGTTATACTAATTTAACTTTTTACAGATTTTTTAAAGTTCCTAACTAAATAAATGCAAAGCGCCGTTAAATAGACACCAACAAATTGATTATGATGATTCCAAGGCAAACTCTTTAGGGTACGCGAGATAAACGAAAATAAGTTTTTTCATACGCTCTGTTGAAAACCCCATCTCAATGTCATTTTAAGTTATTTTAATAATTATTATAAAAAATCTTACTTTGTATTAGATGATGGATTTCCATACGTTTTTGCGTAAATACGTGACTATTAGTCGGAATATTTGGCACGTGGACACTTTGTGCTGACTGCTGCGGATGGCTGTCATTTAACTTATGCTGTGGATTTGACTCAAGTTGCTCATGATTTGTTATATTTGAATGGTTTATTACATGGAAAACTTCATTGCTAGGATGAGGCTGTCTGGATTGAGAGCCCAACTGTTGCAGAAGTTTTTTGAATGCCTCAGTGTCTCTGGCAATAGGTTTTTCCGCTTGCACTATTTGAGAGAATGGTCCTCCTATTGGATTCACAAAATCGTTCCGCATGTCCACTTTAGTCATTTGTGCTTCCAAATCCTTTACACTCGGAATACCTTTAAAAATTTGGTTGTGTTGATAAATAGTTTTGTTAAAGGTGTAAACACGAAGTTGACTTACCAAGTTTTTCTTGAGCATGCGATTCTCGCAAACCGGGAAGCTCATTATTAATTCCAGTTTCTTTATGTAAAAACCAACGGCTAAAGCGTGATGTACCCTTCGCTTCCCCTTTTTCAATGCCATCATTACTCTGTATAAGTTAAAAAATATATACACACGTTCTGATTAATAAAACATATAAATTATACATCTTGCAAAAAAAAATTTCGATTTTTTTAAAAAATTTTTTTTTCTTGTAGATTAACATCTTAAAATTATACAAAAAAAGTTTTAGTCAATCGGAAAAAACTTTAGAAGTTATGCTAAAACTAGTACCCTAACCTCTTAGACTCCACGTACTTAAGTGCATCTTTAAGTGCGTTTTTCTCGGAAGTCTTTGAAAGTCCGTGGTCATCGGCATTTCTAAACTGCTCAACCGATCGTTTTCAAATTTGTCGCATATTTTTCTGCATTAAAAAAAACCCGCCCCCTGGGAAGCGCTTTTTTTTCTTAACTTTAGGTATTTTTTTTAAGCCCAAAGACGGATTTTTTTTTATAGTGTTCCAGCAATCGTTTTGCCACCGATATATTAGCCGATAGTATGCCGGCTATAAAAATTAGTGGATGATATTTAAATGACGCTTTATAATATACAATTGGTTTGAATTAAATCCATCTAACCAGTTTTTATAGAAAAAATCGCAAAGTTACTTGATTTTTTGATGCCAAAGACCCAACCCCCCCATAATATATGGACAGCCCCAAATTTGATGAACTAAAAGCGTTGTCTTTGAAGGCTTCAATGTATTTTTAGAAAAAATGTCCCCAAAAGGAAAATAAGCTGCAATCTAAATTGCACCATTTTACAAAAAACACATTCACAAACAAAGAACCATATCACTAAAAATTTGGTTAATATAAATCGAACTATGTTGAAATATTTTTTGACATTTCTTTGAAGCGAGAGGTCCCCGGTTCGAGTCACACTGATGCAAATGAGTTTGAAGTTTTTATACCCTTGCAGAGGGTATAATGATTTCAGTCAGAAGTTTGCAACGCAGTGAAGGAGCCGTTTCCGACCCTATAAAGTACCCTGCAGGAAAAATGCGAACTAGTCTGAAAAACAACTAGTAATACAACTAAAATAAAGCAACCGGAATTTGTCTGAATGCATTTGGACTACACAGGGTCTAGAAAATTTGTGCTAGTCGAAAAAATGATTAATACAAAACTAGTAAAAAATAAACTTGTCTCGGACTAGTACCTTTCTGACAAAAAAAACCTTAAAAATATTTAACTGGTAGAACAAATACATGTTAGGGTCTAGTTAAAAGGCAACTGGAATTTAACTAGTTGCAAATGAAACACACATGATCAAAAAATATAGCCTAGAGTGTAAATGTCTTGGGAAATTTAACACTAAACAAATCAAACACTCGAGGTCCTCGGTTCAATCCCCAGTCTCTGTACATTTTTTTTTGTTTTTTGTTTGCTAGGTGATGCTTTAGTTTTATTTAAAACTTTGTTTAATCTGTCCGAGGCAATATATATGTAGGGGAGTGTAGGGTAATTTGACGAGTAGGGTAATGTGACGAACTCGTCGAATCTCATATATGACGTCACGATAAAAATTCCAAATAAATGTAGTCGTCTCCCCTTATCGTGTCGACAATGTATTTACAGTAATATTTATAAGAAGTCCCGTAATTTGTTCGTGAGGTAATTTTCGCTAAAAATGTGGTGCGCAAACTAGCAAACCCATTCAATTTACTTGTGTTTCAGCAGTGCCAGAGCAAAGATGAGTGGAAAATAAAATCAGGCAAATATATGCACGTATACATGAGATCTTTATCAACAGTTTTTGGTACCTCGCGTTTTTTTCTTTTGCGCCGTTTGAGAGTGACACCGTTTTTGCTCCAAGTCTACCTTGTAGGGTATCGTGACGAACTTTTTGTAGGGTATTGTGACGAACTTTTTTTATTCAAGAACTTTAACTGTTATCGTTGATTATTTGTAAAAAAAATATAATAATACCAGATAACATTTACTGCTGTAGTTTTATTGTTGTTTTTAATAGTGACGTCAGTTTAATTTAATTTAAAAAAAAATTTGCACTTTGACCATTTTTTTTTGCAAGTTTGGGTATTATCTTATTACTTTTTTCTTTTCCGTATCGAAAATAACCTTTCCGTAAATAATATATAAAAAAATGTATTTTTTTGTTTGTAAAAAGGATGGTTTACACCAAACGCTGTGGGATTTGGCTACGTTGAAATTTCGAATCCAAATTTTTTTAGAAATATGCTCAGTAAATGTAAGCAACTTTCTGCTTTTACACTTTTAAAAAATATTGATTTTTGGAGAAGTTACATTAAAGAACAAATCGTTCGTCACATTACCCTACAACTTTTGAAAGTGCAAAAAAAGAAGTGTTCACGCGAAACGCTGTGGGATTTAGCTGCATTGGAACTTCGAATTTCGAATTTTACAGGGATATGCTCAGTAGATGTAAGCAACTTTCTGCGTTTACACTTTTGAAAAATATTGATTTTTACAAAAGTTACATTCAAAAAACGAATCGTTCGTCACCTTACCCTACACTCCCCTATAAAATCGCTGTTTTTGACCTTGTTAGGGCAATACAAAATGTGATGCGTGTATGGCTCAATCAGTTAGTGTGTCTACAAATCCAAAGGTCCCGGGTTCAAGTCCTAGAGAGGGCGACTTGCCTCAAAAAAAGTAAGTTTGTTTTAATTCCATTTAACTATCATTTACTGTATTTGATTACATAATAATTATCAGAAATTCTCTAAGGACCGCGACTATTGATTGGATAATAAATTAGGAGAGCATCAAGTTTGGCATCGTCAAGTACTAGTGAAATTCAATCACTTGTTGGTTTCGAGATTAATTTTTAGTTTTTTCGTGAAAATATTTTTTTCAGTGTAGTTTAACAGCTGTAACCGTAAATTGGTTAACAGTAACTAGTGCAAAACTAGTAGCAAATGGACTAGTTGTTTCCGACGACAAGCATATGAAAAATGGACCACTTCGTTACAAGGAAATGGACATAACTTGAACTAGTTAACCTTCTTGACCCAACTAGTATTTTAATAGTCCAAAACTGATTCCGTTTCCTGCAGGGTATATATATTCTTGATCAGCATGACTAGACGAGTCGATTTAGCCATGTCCGTCTGTCCGTCTGTTTCTACGCAAACTAGTCTCTCACTTTTAAAGCTATCGGGCTAAAACTTTCCCAAAAGTCTTATATCTATTGCAGGTAGTATATAAGTCGGAACGAGCCGGATCGGACAACTATATCATATAGCTCCCATTGGAATAATCGGGGAACAAAATTTTAAAAAAATTATATCTTGGCTGTTTTGAACCTATAACCTCCTACTTTTGGCAATGCCATTTTTTATCTAATTTTGAATTTCGAATACATTTTTTTCAAAATCGGACGACTATGAAAAAAGATCGAAAAATTATTGGGAATATAATAGGAAATAAATTATTGCTTCGTTGGTTCTACTCTTCTTTTCTTCTTCTTTTCTATTCTGGAATATGACTTTTTTTTAAATGTTTTCGAATTTAGATTTGAATTTTATCAATATCGAACTACTATATCATATAGCTGCCATAGGAACGATCGGAAAATTAGTGATTAATTGGAATTATCTGCAAGGGTATACACAAAATAAATTGCTTAGTAAAATTGACCAACAAAGATAGTTACGTAACTATTAAAATAGTTACGTGTATTTTGTTTTTGCTTTGGGTGTGTGTCTTTGCTAATTGTGTGTATTTTGTTGTTGTGAAATAACAATTTACTTAGTAGAATTGACAATTTTGCTGGTTGGGGCCTGTTTGACAATTATTACAGTTGATTTTACCAAGTTTTTTTTTTGTGTGTATATAATTTCGGGCAGCCGAAGCTAGCTTCTTTTCTTGTTTTCACTAATAATAATAATAATTTATAATAATAATAATAATTTATAATAATAATATAATTTACTAATAATAATAAAAAAATTGAAACAATAATTAAATTAAAAAATAAATGTAAAAAAATAATAAAACATGTACTGGACTCGAGCCCGGTTCAAAAAAACCGAGAGCTGGCATAGCTTCCTCTGGGCTACGCCCTTATTACATTTTTGAGTGGCTAACTGCTTTTGTAAGTTTAGTTGGGATATCTAAATGCTAAAATTTTTGGGTAATATGGACATTTTTTTAAGACCATCATGGCCTTAAAACAAGTCAGTGTGTCCAACAATGGACTTAAAACAAGTCTAAGATTCCTTAGGTCTAAAATTTGTCCATACTACCTCAGTTTAAGTAAATTTTTTGGGTTTTAAGTCCATATTTTTTTCTGGGTGTAGGGTTAAAACCTTGAAATCGTATGGGAAATCATTCTTTGAACCCTTTTTTAAGCTCTATTAAAGCCGAATTTAAATTGAACATTCCAATAAGATATCGGCCCTAATTAAGAAAAATTATTCAAACATAACACAAATGGAGAGGACAAGATATTGACTTTTTGGTAAGATTAATACTTCGAAAGTAGTCATTTAGTCTGGCACACTTACCATAAGGGAATTATCCAAAGGATGCATGTTAAGAAAGGCATCAAAATTGAATTCACTTTCAGAACTTTGGCTGCACTGAAACTGACTTGGTTGGTTTTTGTTCTGTTTGCTAAGTTCTGATGAATTTTGAATAAAAGTCGATACATTTTCGCCCTTGTCTTTTACATCGTCACTTGGATTTGCTTCGCTTAAATGTAAACTGACATTGCTACTTCTCCTCGAAGCTCCATCGATCGTTGGTTGCGCCGCTACATTTTTATCAAGTTGTGGAAATTGATCATTACGATCCTCCATTTCGGAACGCTCCTCATTGTTTTCTACATCGTCAAAGCCGTGTAGGTCAATAGTTTCAAGCTGTGATGTTGGTCCTGCACTGAACCATTCTGGTTCTTCATGTATGTGATAGGAGTTTGCGCGTTTGCCACGACCACTGCAAGACTCCTTATTCGATATGCGCCGATTGCTAACGCCCTGTCTGTCCACTGACCTTTTAGTGTCATATTGGAAACGACGATCTGTGTGTTCGGCAACACGATCGACCAACCTTCCACTGAATGTGCGCTGGCGATGTTGGATTTGATTGTGTTGATTAGCAACGCTTGCACCTCCACTTCCATTTGGAGACGCATCCTTCTCAGTCTCTATGTTGGACTCCTTAGTCTTTTGGGTTTTGTAATCCCAATTATCACTTCTGGGCAACAGGCGACCGCTGCCAATCCGCCTTTCCTGGCGGGTTGTCGAAAATGTTGGCGACGATGACAAGCATTGGTCGTTATCCGGTTGGACGTAGTTTAAACGTGTTTCTCCACTATCTAGATCGCTGCCTTTTCGGTTAGGAGAACTAGGTGCTTTACCCTTGCCTTCCCTTTGGGATACACTTGTTCCATCATCACAGGTGTTTAATGGCGCCTCGTTGTTCTCAGAGCTGGTGCCACCGCTCGCTGCGGCAAAGCGCCTCTTTGCAAATGCCGGCATTAGGTGCGACGATGATATGCTGCGGTGATCGATGATGGGCGGCTTGAAGGACTGCCCATGCGCAGACGCATCCTTATCTTTATCTTTATCCTCCCCGCACATTTGGAGGGAATCTGTAGGTACAAAACGCTGGTAATAGTTATTCGCCCGCTCTCGATTCCGCATTGCGCGCCGCGAGCTTATTGACCCGCTATTGGAACAATTTAGACTAGAGTTATCCGTCTCTGGAGATAGCCGGTTCTTACTTTGATTTGAATAGTTGTTTACCACACTGAGAGAAACGGCGTTAAGGTTTACTTTCCAAAAACCCAACGTCTGTAACTCAGTTCGATTTGTACATTGCGGGCGCTGTCGACTTTTGCCTTCATATCGTAGAGCTATAAGATCTGCTCTCGTGTACCTAAGGCGAAAAAATGATTTTAGAAATGTGTAAATGCATACATTGCATTACTTAGTAAATAGCGAGGCTTATTGGAAAACTGTTATTGTTAACTAACTGTAAAACTTTTACCTAAAAACAATAAAATGTTGCCAGAAAAAATAAATTTATGTACCAACGTATTGTACGTCTAAAGACACATACCTGGTGTTTGGTTTTGTTGTATCCATTTCAAAAGACTTTAGTTAACTTCGCTTCGGCCAACCTAACTTTTTGGACAATTTTCCAAAGTTAAAATCTATCAGGATAAATGCCCCAAAACAATTACAAAAAATCCACTCGCTCCTCTGAAGGAGAGAAAACTTGCTTGTGATGAATATACAAATTTTATGCACCACTTATGCAAACACACACACACGTACAAGCGAACATATACGTATGTTTATGTATAAATATGAATAGCCTAAGTATTTTAAGAATCACTGATTTGTATTTAAACGAATAATTGTTTGTAAACAAATGTACTGTTGCAATATTCTGTTAATTTTATATTTTGTGAAAATCACGTCAAATTAGGAGTGGGATATTAATGACAGTGACAATAATCGGTTCTCATCGAAACCATGAAGTGTAATAACATTGGACCTGGAACTCTGAAAGAGGAACAAAAAGTTTCTATTTAATAATTCGGCATTTCGAGCACATTTATACTACGAAATATAGCTAGATATTTGGGATTTTTTATGTGAAGGAAACATTGTACTAAAATTCTTATTTCGGTGCTTCAAAATACAATATATAAATTTATATATAAATTTTAAACAATTTTAGAAGATTAACAAAATACAGAGTTTGTAGAAAAACTGCCGGACCACCGTTGAATTCTAGTGGCTTGCGGTGGAAAATCATTTTTGGGAAAACACTGTTTTGAGAGAATTCCGTTTAAAGTGTTTAATAGCCTCTTCCCAAAGAGTCCATCCGTTTGAAACGGTTGGGATTTTTGACGAATGTGAAATTCGTGTTTCCACAGAACTCCATCCACCATCTACCATCCAATAACAGCTGACTGAAGAGCAGTTGCTCAGCTCAACATTAACGAAGGGGGATTTAAATTCGGGAAAACTGTCGTAAAATTGCGTTCTCCTAATTTTATTGTAGAATAATACAATAAATAGATTAAGAAAATGGTTTAAAAACATATCTGAACGTTTATAACATATCCTACAAAGAGTATGCTTACATATTGCTGACTGGGGGGGAGCCTAACCTCCCGTACCCCACACGCCTCTGCCTAACCAATATTAATATAAAACGAGGACGGAAGCTAACTTCGGCAAGCCGAAGTTTTAATACCCTTGCAGATTTTACGAATTAAAACTTGACTAGACTAGCAACATGCATTAATAAACAACAAAATATTTTATAATTGAAAAAATAAAATTTTAAAATTTTTCACCCTATTGTTCCTATGAGAGCTATAGGATATAGACGCCCGATCGGCACGCGCGTTTACCCTAATGAAGGTACGCACAAAAAAATACGATTTGGAAAGTTTCATGGGAATAGCTAATATTTTGCGCGAAATATCCTGAAAAACGTCAAATTTTGACCGATTTCACCCTATTGTTCCTATGGGAGCTATAAGATATAGACGTCCGATCGGCACGCGCTTTTACCCTGATCAAGGTACGCACAAAAAAATACGATTTGGAAAGATTCATGCCAATAGCTCTTACACTGAGCGAAATATCTTCATTTTTGTAAAAGCTATATCCGATTGTTCCTATGGGAGCTATAGGATATAGACGTCCGATCGGGTCGGCTTTCAAACTTGATCTGCGTACACATGTTTTAGGACGACTGTGAAAGTTTCAAGGCGCTAGCTTTTAAACTGAGCTCGCAAACGGTATTGAAACAGACATACAGACGGACAGACGGACAGACGGACATGGCTATATCGACTCCCCTATTGATCCTGATCAAGAATATATATACTTTATGGGGTCGGAAACGTCTCCTTCACTGCGTTACAAACTTCTGACCAACATTATAATACCCTCTGCAAGGGTATAAAATTGTATACAAAACTAAATTTATGCTGTTTTTAGTAAATTATAGCAACTTTGGAACTTTATAGGAGTACAAAGTACACTTTTAATTAATATTAGTTATATTTACGAAGTGCAGATCATATTTTGGTACTTTGCTGCAAACATTGATGTTTTCGTACGCACAACAGCTTACATTTTGGCCCACACATAGCAACCTGCTTGCGAACGCTTTTCTGCTCATAACAAACTACAAATAATTTAAAAAAACCCAAAAAACAATGGGCTGAAGCATTATTTAATTTTTTCCCGCCATCGATTTGATTTGTTCACGCAGTCATCGTTCCAATTTTCACAGTCAAGAGGAAGAATTCAGAGTTGCACCGAGAAAACATCGCCTAACTATCGCATAAAAGAGCCCGTCAAAGTCCGTCCAAATTGGATGGCGGACTAACTGGGAAATTTTCGGAACGGCAAAACCTTACGGACCATCCGTTCAACGGATGGCAGATGGTGGATGGAGCTCTCTGGGACGACCCTATTAAGTTTTTGTAAATTCTTAAAAATATCTGGCAGAAAAAAATTATTTAAACGGATAGTAGCTCTTTCCTATAAGGATTTGACATTCAGAAAATGTTCAACTTTGTCCGCCATCCAAATTTGACGTACTTTGACGATTTTTATGCGATCGTAAGGTGATGTTGTTTGATGTTTATGAGAACGTAATCAAACCGATGGCGGAAAAAAATTGAAAATTTTTAAGTTTATTGTTAGTTAATTTTTATTGTAAGCGGAAAGGAATTTGCTTACTGAAAGGAAAACGGTCGCCAATCTGTGTATTCCCTAAACTGTTGAATTGCTGAATTGTTATATTTTGGTCAGCTGTTAACCAGCTGTTCCATACAAAGTCAACTTTCAGAAACTCCAGCAATTCAACAGCCTCGAGGCTGTTGAAAATTTTGTTGAATCGTTGAAAACCAGAGTTGTCACCTTTTTTATTAAAAGTCATGGCAACTCTGCAACATTTTAGTATCACCGGTACGCATTATTTATTTTAAAATCAACATAGAAAGCATATTGGTTGTTCTTTTTACCTTAGTACGAATTTCAGACAGTAACTAGCAATAATAAATCAAATTTTACATGTTTTTAGTTTCGTGAAACTTTTCAACAAATAACAGCTGTTTGAAAATTCAACAGGAACCATATTGGGTCGTTCCCTTAATTGCTGAAAATTTCTGTTGAATTTTCAACAATTCAGCAATTCAACAGTTTAGGAAAAATCATCGATATATAGATACATTGTTATATTTTCGACATCCCTACTAGACAGAGGTTAGGTTAGGAGGTTAGGCTCTCCCCCAGTCAGCAAAATGTATGCATACTCGTATTCGGATATGTTTTAAAAGTTCAGATATGTTTTTTAAATATTATCTTATGCTATTTATTGTATTATTCTACAAAAAGATTAGAAGGACGCAATTTTACGACAGTTTTGCCGAGTTGAAATCCCCCTTCGTTAATGTTGAGGTGAGCAACTGCTTTTCAAGTCAGTTGTAATTAAATGGTGGATATGCTCTGTGGGAACACGAATTTCACATTTGTCAAAAATCCCAACCGGTTCACACGGATAGACTCTATGGGAAGAGGCTATTATAGCCTGAATAACTTGAAATTCGTGTTCCCACAGAGCTCCATCCACCATCCCATCCAAAAACAGCTGACTGGATTTCAACTCGGATTTTAACTCCCATAGAGTTTCCATCCACATCCACATCCAATAACAGCTAACTGGAAGAGCAGTGGCTCAACTCAACATAAACGAAGGGGGATTTTAACTCGGCAAAACTGTCGTAAAATTGCGTTCTCCTAGTTTTATTGTAGAATAATACAGGGATCGTAACTGTTATGAGTTTTATTTTAAAAATCGCTTTTTAATCATTATGTCATGAGTTTTAAGTAAAACTCAAAGAATAATTGTTACTCTGTGAGTTTTATATAAAACTTGACAAATAAAACTTATTCTCTGAGTTTTATTTTCCGCTTGGAAAATAACAGTTATTCCTTGAGTTTTATATAAAAATCAAAAAATAAAACTTATTCTCTGAGTTTTATTTTTTCGATCAAAAATAAAACTCAAAATCGTTTAGTGGCGGCTGTGTAGGCGATAAAAATGTTTTAAAAAATAAGGTATGGTATTTGATCTATTGGGTTTATTTAAAGATTTTTACCAACTGAAAATAACCACCATAAGTATGATTAATTAATTAATTTACGTCGCGCAAAGGAGAAATCCAAGTTTTAATTCATTATGCGCGGATCCACGGAATGTGATATGGGTTATAGAACACCCCCCACTCGAGTGAAAAATAAAAGGAAAATTGTTTTGGTATCACACCCTACAACAAAATCCTAGATCCGCCACTGCACTACATATCCGAACCACTGTACATAAGTGAGTACATTTGGTAAGAAAATCCATTGTATATACTGGCTCAGTGATAAGTATCAGCTCCACAACAACAGAGGTTAACTTCCAGCTAAGGGTAAAACCTTTTTTCAGATTATAAAGCTTTGTCTATATTTTGCAGCATTTGTCACGAAAAATTATAACATAAGACTGCAAACAGTAATCGTAACTATTATGAGTTTTATCCTAAAAAACGCATATATATACAATGTTTAAAAATGCCAGTGGTGTAAGGTTTAAGCTGGAATTTATTTAAACTTTTTATTTAGCTTCACAAATAAAAGTTGTTTTATGGATTCTGATGATAGCTTGGATCTAAGGTCCGTTAGAATTAACTTGAGAGCAGAAAAGGACCTCTCAACGCTCACTTGGGTAGCTGGCACGGCATGGACCACTTTTGCCATTTGGTAGAGGTATGGATATACGAATTTTTTCTCCTCCCAATAACTCATAACATCCGTATTTACATCGATAGGCTTGGGGCAAAAATTGTCGATTTCGCTGTAGGCTTTTTTAATGTCCTCATCATAAGCGTCGGAGTTCTCTACACTCTGAATATCTTCAAAAGAGTTAAGAAACTCTTTGAGGAGAGAATTCGATTGATTAGAACATGATGTTGGTTCATCTTCAGGTATATTTTGACGAGAATCGCTCTAAACAAATCAAATTAAAACATATATTAAGTCATACCAAATTATTAATTAATGTATAAGCCGAAGCTTTTTACTTACTTTGTTATAAACAGCATGTATCTGTAAATACAATTGCTTCAGCTGACTTCTTGCTCTGATTATGTCTTGAGGGTTTTTATTCAAAACTCGACGAATACGAGGATCCAAATAGACTGCACAAATAACGATATGATTTTCCAAAAGGGTATCTTCTCTTTTTTGAAGGCAATCCACCAATACCTTATTACTGGTACCCATCGCTTTTACAGCTAGCTTTAATTCGAGCCATATCTTATAAAAGTCTCCCAAAAACATTTGCTCCGATTGAAATTTTTTGGTAGCGACGAATAATGGCTCTAATGTATTGCACATAGTTCTGATCATACTCCAATCAGTAGCCGTCAACTTTGATAGATCATCATATT